TCCGATAAACGAGCCGCGAACCCCGAGAAGCCGTGCTTGTAGGTGTGAACCAGTGCATTTGCTTTCCTGTGTGTTAGTAAACCACAAAAGTTTAACTAATGACATGATCTTTTTTATTAATTCAGTTAGACAGTATTGCAGCATAACTTAGCAATCTGCTACAGACAAGTAAAAGAATGGGAAAGATATAATATTGTCTCCCAATAGTAAGTACAATAATATGTCTAAAAATACCTTCTAAACAAAGAGTTGAGAAGTTTAGCATGGTCATCTCGAAGTACAGAACCATTGGTTGAAGAGGCAGCTCCCATGTAGACAATATAAACGCCATTGTTGTTTTTAGATTGAGCTGCTTTAGTTTCTCCCACAAATGAGAGGAGGAATAAAAGTACTACAAGACTGAATGGAAAGAAAATGGAGATGCCCATATTTGAGATTTTTGAATAATATTGGTGGGAATACTAATTTTTGAATGTCAAGAGTCCATTTCCACTTATATGAAGGAAACGACTTATATAGCCGAAGTAGCACTTCCAAGATAATGTGGTTTGCTTTGCTCTTTTGGTGGGAAGTTGTCACGCGCACTCCGTATCCATATCAGACTCTATATATTGGCCACCCAAAGTGCGCAATTGTAATCTAATCCTAGTGACATTTACGGATCATTATGTTTATATAATTAATGGTAAAGTGGCGATAGTAAATAAATGGGCAGATATTTCTTGCACTAGCTAGTTGTTAAGACTTAAGACTAACTAATTGTATTATTAAATAAAGTGTTGTTGTCTTGTCTAGGCAGAAATTGTGGTAACAGATTAGCAACTGAACAAGCTCATGCCATCTGAATGGTAAAGCTTCATTTCTTCTCATTGTCTAAACAAATGCGTCTGGTCATATTTTCTTATAGTGGCGTAGTGCGTTTTTGGTTTGTGGTTTGGAAGGTTTTGAAATCAATGTTTCTATATATATATATATTGGGATCCAATATAAGCATCTGATGACCAATTTTAGGCATGATTTAGATCGACCCTTAAATATCCACGTGGGGAGAAATATCTTCAATGGTGAAGTATGACGGGTACAGCACTTTGGAAAATTATACAATGAGGCACAACCAGTTACTTATAGACAATTGGGAAGATGAAGTTGGTGTCGATCAAACTAAACTTGTAGTGGTAACCAGATTATGTAATGGCCACTTAAAGGCGACCAAAATAAGAAAAAAAGTTTCCTGAGAAAACTAAACATTCTCAGCAAGTGACAAATCCAAGGCCACCAGAGTGCCCCACTATCCACCAGAGAAGTGTTGCGGAAAATCGTTAAACAAATAAAGTGATGAATATAGGCCTCGTTCACTTCGCGGATTCGAGTTGAGATGTGACATTTTCTGAGAGTTTTTTACTGTAACAGAAAAAGTTAAAAACCTAAAACTGAAAACTCGAATCGGTAAAGTGAACGAGGCCATAGTGTTGATCCCACAAGGACATTCTAATTAAGTACCAAAATTTGTTAACTTTAAAGATTATTTAAATGACCGAAATTAAGATGAAAATAATAAAATAAAAGCAAATAAAAATAAAATAAATAGCTTAAATTATCTAGGCCAATGACTCACCAAAATTAATCATATATAAAAATCCCTATTTAAATTAATTATCTCTATTCCCAATGACAGTGAATTTCTCTAAATTAATTACTAATCTTTCTCAAGCATTAATAATCATACCTTAAACATGCAGACTCTACATCTCTTTAAGATTATAACATGTTGAGATTCATTAAGAATAGGAAATCATCACCATTGCACTAGTCACATAATTATCTCTAACTTATGATGTTCTAATGACATTCCAACCAAGGGTCATATTTAACCATCACTTCTCAATCTCAGAATTAAACACTAAATCATGCAATTGTTGATCAAGCAATCACAAATATTAAACACATATTGAAACACTCGACATAATTGGAAATAAAACATAAATTAATTAAAATTAGAAAAACCAAATACTCATAATCCGGCTACCTCAGATAATCCAATTAAAGCATTGGTTCCAGTAAAATTAAATAACAAAAAAAAAATGAATAAAAAATTTAGAAAATAAAACCAATCGGAGGTATCACTGGTCTCCAAACTTCGTCTTTCAAATCTTCTTCTTCTTCTTCTTGTGGCTTTAAAAATACTTTCTCCAATAACCCTAAATAAAAACATAAAAATGAATCCTAAATAAAACAACCCTAAATTTCCCCAAATATTTTTCTAATCAGCTCTGCCATTGGGGCTTGAATATTTTTTTGGGTATTATGCTCTGTCGAATTCAAAGTGCAGGGGGTCTTCCTTGCTTTTGCGGCTGAAGGAGGCTTTAATAGAATCCACGCTCAAAATCAAATGAAAATCAGCCCATTAGGTTTCACTCACAGTGGACAGGTGGCGGATTCTAGTTGGAAGCTGGATTAAATGGACGACGTGGCAAGGAGTTTGGACTGGGCAAGCGTGGTGGACATGCTGATTAGGATACCTTTTGGTTGTAATTGCACATTTTTGCTCCCTTATTATTTCCGATAAAGTCCCAATGTTGCCATATATGCCTTTTTCACCAACTTAACACGAATGAGAATTAATAAAATAATTAGGGAAAAACTAAATATAATATAATATAATATAATATAATGAATCAGAATAAAATAAAGTGAAACTAAACAAAAAATTAAATAAAATAAACAAAAATTCTTAAGAACAAAGCTAATTTAACCGCAAATATGACTGAAAATAACTCTATTTTTTATAGATTTATTAAGAAGATTAGATACCTATTATTGTTTACTAGCCAAAAGCAAAAATCATTTACAAATAAAAAAATATAGATGAAATAAGATTCTCTACGACTCTATCTGCTTCGTATACATATTACTGATTTTTGGGCTGAAATAGACTGTCAAAGCTCATTATGACCTAAAAGGTTGATGTGAGGGCAAGAACTTTTAAGAACTTACGAGTTGTGTGAAAAAAAAAAGAAAGAAAAAAGAAAAGCCTACATAGAGTTTGATAAAACTGCTATTTCTTGTGCCAACTTTATCATATACTATATTTTATATTTTTTGAGCTGAAAATTGCTATATTTTATGTTAAATTTATCATTGAATATATATATATATATAATAAATTTAGTATTAGATTGTTATTGATTGATATGTTTATTTTTTCATATAAGCAATGCAACATTTGCATTTTTAATTTATTTTAAAATTAAAGGCTTATTTTTGTAACCTTAAAAGTTTAATGATTATGACAAAAAGTACATTAATATTTAAAATAACATTTTGTATTAGAGCACAAACGAGAGTCTCTAATGTAATGTCATAATTGATGTCTTAATAGTAAATTTAGCATTTGAATGTAAGAAACTCTCTAATAAAATACTATTTATTGCGATAAATTTATTATATGCTATACTTTGTGGTAAATTTGTGACCAAGTAAAATATACGATAAATTTGACATTTGATTAGCATTGGTTGATATGTTTACCTTTTCATTTAATCATTACACCTCTTGCATTTTCATATTATTTTAAAATTAAAAGTTTACTTTCACAATTTTTAAAACTTAATGATTATAGTAAAAGGTAAATTTAGCGTTTAAACTAGCATTATGCATTAGAATGTTGGGAATGATATCTTAAAAGTATGAGATGTAATATGATATTTATTATTAATTTAATAAAAGAGTTTATTCATTATTTTATGTGCATATATTATTGAATATTTTATGAATATCACTAAAAATTCCGTGATTATTTATGTGACTATAAATATTGTATATAAATGTTATATGCGAGAGGATAATATTTAAGGATAATAATTAAAACGATGAACATAAAATAATGAATAAACTGTTCATAAAGAGAGCATTAGAATATTGCATTATACATTAGAATATTGCATTTTTACTAGTCATAAAGAGAGCATTTATACAATAAATTATTATTTACTTCAAATAGTTTTAAAAATTTTTATTTACTTAATTTAGTTTCATAAATTTATTATTTACAACCATTTTTATTTGTATGGTGATCATCACCCGAAAAAAAAAAATGAAAAAACAGTACTGAATCTCAATTTATTTTAGAATAGAAAGAGCTTTGTGCTCTACTATGCGCAAATGGTCTAAAAGCACAAACATACAGGTTGAATCAAATGGTTTCAAGCCTGTGAAAGGAAAATGAGAGCAAAAAAAAAATTATAATCTGATGAAAAAATATGGGGTGTATACGATAATATATAAGGGTGATTGTGGAATTATATAAGCTTTTAGTATTAAAAAAATAAATTCAAATTTTAAATATTTTAGGGTATCTTAATAAAACTTGCGATTATTTTCTATAAAGGTAAACACTAGCCGTCAAGGGCTCTCTCTTCTATGAGCGTTTTTCTGCTGTTAGCGCCTCGGTGTGGCTCTTTTCTGGGGCCGGAGTTTGACGGTGACATTCCGCTTGCCTTCGGATCCGGCCCTAGAAATAGTGGTTTGGACTTCCCAGTGATGGATCTAGTGGGGGAAGGGTGTGTTTTACTCGTGTGGTCGAGAGGATGGGTTTTTGGTAAGGCTATAGTGGGTGGTTCTCGGCGTTACAACTATGGTACTCCATCAATGACGATCTCAGCTCCGTACAGACTTCTCTTACCTAGCCCTTTAGGTGCGCAATGCGCTGTTGCTTTGAAACTAGTGGGTCTTCTCGTGGAAGGCTTTTATGTCCAATAAAGACAATGTATTTTTCACCGCTTAGGTTTTATGTCTTGTTTTCGTGTGTTTATTTCTAAGTTTATAATAGTCGGCCAATTGTTTTGTCGTGTTCCATCCACTTGAGGTGTTTTTTCAGCAGTTATGTATCTTAAACTCATTTGATCGGTGTTGTTCATTAATTATGGAGGTGTGTTTTTAAAGAGCAATGTGTGTGCTCATTTCCCGTGTCAGCTTCCTGGTACAAGAGCTCTGTGCACGTTTTCCTCCCCTCCTGAGTTCCACGATAAATGATGGAATCATTCATTGATCGTGTTTAAGTTATATTTGTATTGCAAAGTTATTTGTATCAACATTAGTGTTTGTATTTCCTCATTTTAAAATATGTTTACTTTCAAAAATAAATAAATAAATAAATAAAATATGCTATTTACTAAAAGAGAAAATGAGAACAAATAACCCTTTAAATAATAATCTCTTAATGTATGACCCCCAAACACTGAGCCATTGATTTCTATCCTTTTAGACTATAATGAGTCAGAGGTCCAAAATCTAGATTACCAAAATGAATTAATTACATAAAGTGTCTCCTATAAGATTACACCAAATAGCCCTAAATTACATAAAGTGTTTCTGTAAATAGCACTTAACAAAATTACACCAATAATAAAAAAGGTAATC